TTTTACAACCTTGTTATTACAAGACAATCATAAATCAGAAAAACACCTCAGACCATTAAGTTTTAGAGGTGATTAAATAACCAATAGAAAGAGCACTAACTATAAACAGCACACAAACAACATTCAATGCTCTTGTGGTATGCTTTTGACAATTTTAACATTAAAACACAAAATTTAAAAATTACTCTGAGAATCTCTGGGCAAACACCTGTCACAAAACCTTCATCCTAAAGAATATTCACTTTTTAACTCTGCATTAAGACACATGGTTTTTAAATTAAATAATAGGGGTTTCCTGCAAAATTGAAAAACTGAAATGCTGAAAAACTGACATGCTAATGTGGCCAATGCCCCTCCATCAAACCTGACAGGTCAGCAAAACCCAAGCTAAGCACCGGCTACATTTACATAATCACAAACAATAAGGTCATGTACAAAAGTAACTAGATAACTTCTCAGTGAGAACTCATTTACAGCACCAGAACACAGTTCTTCAGCCCTAGCTTCAGCCCATCACACGGATGTTTCGGTTAATACAACAAGATTGACACAAAAACTGCAGTTTTCGGCACTGGGCTCTGCAAGTTCACATGCACTTTTCTCAGTGAGCAAACTAAACAGAGAGAGCAGCGTCCAGGAAAAATTTATCCTCATATTGCCTACCTAGATGTTTTTACAGATAGTTTTGTTATAACTAATAGTCAGAAAGAAACAGCCTAAATTAGATTTATCTCCAATAGACAGATGCATGGTTTAATTTACATTTAAAGGCAGACACACTTTTAAGTCACCTTCAACACAGTTTTAAAGGGAAGACATAAGTTTTTGAAGTAGAATTTACCGAAGAAAAATCAATTCTTGATGAAGTCCACTTCAATACCTTTTTAAAAGCAGTTCAGATCACAGGTCTGATCCATGTACATCCTGATCAGGTGCAGAAGTCTAACCACTTACAAGTTGAAGAAAAAGCGCAAGTTTAAGAACTATACTACTCAGATCTCGGCTAACAGTTTAGGTATATTTCTTCATAGCCTGCTGAAAGACTACAACCAAAGTTCCTCATTAATTTCAACAGGTCAGAGTGCCACTAAGAAGTTTGAAATGTCCAATTTAATTTTTAAAAATTAGTGCAAGAAAATACTCCCTGTCCGCAAAGGGGAGCATTAAAATATACAAGTTGTCAGAAAAAAAGATGCAGGTTAAAATCATAAAAGTTAGTGTCTGAGAAGACTAAGCACCCAAAAAAAAAAAAAAAATCAGGTCACATTTGATGGTGCAAACAATTACAGGAAATACAGCCTATTCCACATTCAGGAAGAGCCCTCTCTTCCCACAGGTTTGTACTAGTCTGATAAAAACAATTCAGCTTCCTAGTTATTATGATGTGCACTTTAAACATCCTTGTTAATCCACAAAAGCCTTATTTACACATAAGAAGTTGAAAGCACACGTATGGAAAAATAACTGTAATCTAAACAAAACTGTGACATTCACATTTTATTATAAAGTAGTTGGTTGTTTTTTTTAAAAAGTTTTTTAAGTATACCTCTTACATTTAAACTGATTTTCAAAACTAAATGCCATAAAGCAGAGACCATCTACTAAGTTAAGTACTAAAATTTTCAAAGATCAAAAACTAGGATAGAGTTCAGAAAGGGAAATGTGTTTTGGATAATACACGCAGCACATAAATGGACCAAAAAAAAAGATGTACATTCTGTAACCTAAAGAGATTATGTGTGCTGCTCACCAAAACCGACAGGTCCATTTTTATCTCTTCCTGCATACAACTCCAAGAAGTAATGACAAGTCCATTTGACTTTTTTTTTTAAATACAGACATGCAACAATAAAAAATAACAATAATGAAAAAAAAACCCTAGAATTCTAGTAGGGAAAGCAATTCCATGTTTTATTTGTTTGAATTCTTAGGGTTGTGACTTTATTTCTTCAATTTGATCAGCATTCAACATAAAAGACAATGGCTGATCATAATATTATTCTTCTGAAACATAAACAAAAGCTTCAGGAAAATGACTGTATAGTAACTAAAAAAAAAAAAACCAAACAAACAACAAAACACACCTACCTAAAGCATAGAACAATAAAAAGAAGCCGCAAATCAAATTACAGGGTGGAGGGCGCAAAGAGGGAACTGAACCCTGTAACCTTGTTTTTAGATTATAGATACATATCTACATACGCATGTTCTTGCCCCAAATACTTGGTATTCTCAAAGGTGCCAGGAAACAACTGATGAAACTATTAAATAATACTCTTTTAAGTAAGTGCTCTAAATCTTGCAGACTTCTCTAGCAAACATGTAATTTGCTATTGCTAAACCCTTCTGCTGGAGGATGTCAGTGTAGCATATTCAAGATATTTACCACAGTCCCCCTCTGAGAACCAGGGTAAGTGTTTTACAGGAAAACACTCAACTTCTCAACTGTTCATTGCTGTGGCCTATTCCACCTCTGTAATACTCCCTGTAAGCACACCATATATGTAAGCCCATGCAAATACCGATACCTGCACAAATCCACAAGCATTTTGTCATTCTTTGGCATCTTCTAACAGATTTGTTAATTTCCCTGCCCGAGTCAGCACTGGTGCTCAGAGGCTGGCCTCACGCATCAGAAAAAAAAATAACTGGCGCCCCTTAGTGTTCACATTTTGAAGTCTTGAAGCAATTTACTAGATTTGCATGAAACATTTTTTTCAACATTCCAAAAAGTTTTCTGCCTCCACAATACTTCCACACAATTGCCAACGTAAACAGGAAAAGCAGAAAAGCTTAAAGGGATAGCAGGCTTCTTCCAGAGACTATTCAGAAACACAGATCGTATTTTATTTACTTTTCTGTTGAAGAAGAGTGTGACGAACAGTTCCAACACAGTCCTTAAACTTTTTCAGCAAGAGTCTCGAGAGCCCTTATTTTGGAGCTCCAATACTTCACAAACAGGCTTCCAGAATTTTCAATATTTCAAAATATATGACAAGATGTAAGTATTTCAGACATTCCTTTTTCAGTGTCCTTTTTGCATTGGGATATGTTTTTCATGCCTTTTGTTCTTTGGGAAAAAAAAAAAAAAGAAAAAAAGGCTTCGGGCCTCCTCTGGTTAAACACATTAAGTTGAAGAGATTCAGGAATTTAAAAATCCAGTATCAAGCCTCTGGAAGGTTCATTTGTGCTATAAAGGAATTTTCTCAGTCAAGTGTCTTCTTGATGTTTACTGTAAGTCTAACTATTCTGCAGAGGTTGTTTGTTGTGGTGACCAATAACATAAGTCTCAAACAGTTTTACTTTTCATGTCCGCATTTGCTCCAATATAAATTCAAACTCCTCCAAGAGTCTTGAAAATAAAAATAGAATCTCCCATTACATTGCTTCCCACAGTCCATATTTTGGTATTCTCCACCAGGTTTGTGGTTTGTTTTTTTTTTTTTTAATTCCTGTATCATTTCTTTCAGAAGGTAGCATTTTCTCGATACGCTATTTTTGTGTTGTACTACAGTCACTATCTCATTTTTACAGTCTTGGGAGAGGGCGGGGAGTTGCTCTACCAAATATAACCAGTTCTTTCATCTTCAGAGGTCAACAGCTTCCCAAACTTCTTTGAGCGAGGAGTAATACATCCGCAAACAAGAATCCTAACTCCAAATCTTGAAAATCAGTATTTCACACTAAGAAGCCCAACAAGTTGAAATTGTATAAATAATTTATGGCTTTATCGTATTCTACAAAGCTATCACATAAGATTAAACGAACAGGTCTAACTCTCCAGAAAGCCTAGGTTTAAAATGGTAAGAACGGAAATGCCTTTGACAAGAAAAACAAACCTGTGAACCCACGTATAAGGCAAATTTAAAATACTAGGAACAAGTCTACCACCGTATTTTAACACTGTGGGTCTGCTACTGTAGTGGGAAAACGTATGGGATACAGTAAGTTCCCGACACGTACTTTTCTATTTCTAAAATATGATTATTTATACGTAAAAGCTTAACCTTAAAGAAATTTATTTAGGGAAAAAATGGGGGGAGGGGGCTGTGGGGGGAACCCTCGCCCCGCGGGAGGAGCGGGTGCGGGGCTGGGGTGGACGTTTGGCAGGAGTAGACCAGGCAATTTCGTAACCTTTTTTTTTTTTTTTTTTTGTTCCCTTCACTAAAGTCACACGTAGGAGTCTTTCAAGTTAAGTTTCTTTAAAAGGTAAGGGTAGCTGAAAGAAGAATTTGCTCGCTTCCCTCGCAATATAGGAAAACCGTAATTAGTTTGTGGCCAGTTCGGGGTGGGGTAGATCTGGAGCTGAAGAAAGAGCTCAGCCCCCCTCCGCCTTAGTCATTCAAGTCCAAGCAGCTTCCAAAAGAGCCAAATCTCGAAACCAAACACCCGCCGCCCCCCCCCGCAGCGGGGGCCCTGGGGCCGGGCGGCGGAGCGCTCCGAGGGCGCCGGCAGGACCCCTCTGTCCCCCGCCGCCGCGGAAGGGAGGGAGGGATGGAGGGAGGGGAGCGCCAGCCGCCAGCCAGCCTTTCCCCTCCTCCCTGCCTTCCCCCAGAGCGCATTCCTGAGCTCCTCTCCTCGCTCCCTCCCCTCCGTGCCGTAGTTACCCTTCCCCCGGTTTTAGGAGATGGTGCGGAGAAGAGAGGAAAAAACAGGGAAAAAAAAAAAAAAAAAAGGCAAAAAATAAGGGGGGGAAACCGTACCGGGGGGAGCGGGGACCCGCGCGACCGGGGCTGCCTCTTCCCCTCCCACTCGCTCCCCGAGTCCCCCGGCACCGCACGGCGGCGGCCAGGGCGGGGAGAGCCCGCACTTCCCCTTTGTTTTAGGCTCCCCAGCGGGGCCGGGAGCGTGCGGGGAGCAGCGGGGAGAGCGGAACAGGCCCCGGGCCGCCCCCGCCGCCCGGCCGGGCTGGGGCGGGAGGCCGAGCGGGATCCCCGGAGCGGGGGAGGCAGGGCAGGGCGGCGGGGCGGGGGAGGGGGCGGCCGGGCGAGCGCTTTTACCTTCGTCCAGCAGCCTCTCGAGGTGGTTGAAGATCCCGCAGAAGTTGGGGAGGCTGCTCATCAGCTTCTTGTCGTTCATCAGCTGCATCAGGTAATCGGGGCTCGGCTTCGGCTTCTCCTTGGTTTCCATTTCCCCAACCATATTCCAAGCCCGCGCAGAGACGGCGAGCGCCCGCAGCAGCTCCGCCGAGCAACGCGACCGCGGCACGGGGCGCCCGGCTGGATCCGGGCGGGCAGGGAGGCGGTGGGGGAGGGGAGGGGGCGGGGAGGGGAGCTTCCCCGAGGAAGGAGGAGAAGGAGGAGGATTTAAATCCGGAGACAAACGCAGACCCGCCGCTGAGTCCCAGGGACCGAGGGAGGGGAGGAAAAAAAAAAAAAAAAAAAAGAGGAAACTCGGTAGAAACCCCCGTGCGGGCTGCGCCCTCCTCTCCGGGTACAAGGACCCGCCGCCGCCTCTCGGTGCCGCCGCCGCTGCTTCCCTGCTCCGTGCGCCCTCGGCCGGCGCAGTCCTCGGTGTGTCCCCCCTCCTCTTCCTCCTCCTCCTCCTCCCGCGCACACACACGCTGAGCCCGGTTCTCCTCTCGGCGCTGCCCCCTGTCTCCGCGGCGGGGGAGGGAGGGAGGGGACGCGCGGGGCGGGCGGGCGCTGCTGGCGCGGCTGCCGCTTCCGAGGAGCCGCCGCCGGTGTCTCCCCGCTGTTGCTGCCGCCGCCGCTGCTGCTGCTGTTGTTGCCGCCGCGCTGCGCTTGGCGTGTCCTCCTCCTTCTCCGCCTCCCGCCCGCCCGCCCTCCCGCCGCCGCCGCTGCTGCTGCCGCTGCTTGCCGCCGCCTGTGGCTTGGTGAGTCTCAGCCCCGCCGCCGCCTCCTCACTTCTCCTCAGTTCGCTCCGGAGTTCGCTTCAGTTCAGGCTGCGCTGGCAGCGGCGGCGGCGGCGGCAGGAGGGGAGGGGGCAGGGCCCGCGGGGGTGGGACATGCCGGGGGTGGGACCAGGGGCGGGGCGGCCGCTGCCCGGCGGCGGTGGCGGTGGCAGCGCCACTTGGCGGAGCCACAGCTGTGGCTCCCTCCCTCGCTCCCTCCCTCCCTTCCGCCCCGGACTCCCCGGGGCGGTGGCGACGGGGGAACAACCCGCTTCCCGTGCGCCCCCACCCCGCCCGGCCCCGCCCCGCCGTGCGGGAGCAGGGGCGCGCGCACGGAACTCTCCCAAACAAAGTCGCGTCGCGGCGCTTTCGCCTGCGGGGCGGGGGCGGGGCCGGGTCACGTGCGGCCCCCGGGGGCGGGGCCAGCCCCACCGGGGCGCGCGCGCTCGCGCTGCTCGGCGCTGCCCCGGTGTCGCGCGGCGGGGCTGGGGGAGGGGGCAGGTGTGCGCGGGGAACGCGCCTGCGCGCGCGGGCGGTGGGCGGTGCGGACGGCGCCAGGAGCGATTCCCGGTCGGTGCCGGGGCCGCGGGGGCGGGCGGGGAGCGGGGGAGCCGCGGGAGTGCCGTGGCCGTGCCGCGGCCGCCACCGGCGGGGAGGAAGAAGCGGAGCTGGCGGGAAGCCGTTCTCCCTGGATGCGGGGGCGCGGAGCGGGTCGGGGTCTGTCCGCGCAGGCGGTGGCGGCGCGACCGCACGCCTGGCCCTTGCCCCGCACGGCCGCCTTGCGGGCACCGCGCAGCCCGGGCCGGCCCGCGGGTCCCGCCGCGCTCCTGCCCGCTCGGGCCGCGCCGGCGGGGCTACTCGGAACCCTTTCTGCTCGTAGGGCAGCGCCGAGTTTGGGCATCGGCCGTGGCCTGTTTGGCGGGTGTGTGCGGGAGACGTGCTGGGAGCAGCGGTGTCCGGCAGCCAGGACCAAAACTAACGCGCTCCATCCACTGCAGCTGCAGGGGCAAAGCAGCGCGGCGCGGTTGCTTGTACGTATTCCTCCTTCCCCACGCAGCTACTAGGTGTTCTTAACTTGTTTTTTATTACTTAAGAAATCATCGGGAAGCTTTGATGTAATTTTCGATAGCTTGGTAGAGCTTTTGTTACAAAACTAGATAAAAATCGCTGCATTCTTCATGTAGTTCGCTGAAGACAGTCTTTTTTAATAGGACTGGGTATGAAGTCTAGCTGTTGCTTGAAGTTCTCTGAAAAATTCGAATGTATTTCAATACATACTGCACGGGATTTGAAGACAGATTAATCGCAATGAACCAGTGCTTCCAAAACTAAAAGGAAACAGACACGTCATGTTGACGGGTGTACAGTGTCATTGAGTAATGTCAAGCAGGCTTAACTGCTTTTCCTGAAAGATGTGCATTGACAAAAATGTAGAGAAAGCATAGTTGTCATATTAGTAAAAATGCCTTGGATTACTGCATTGTGTGTAGTGTTTATAGTATATTTCCCTTTTAAACATGCAGAGTTTGTTATTTGGACATGGTAATTTTTATTTAATTTCAGGGGTTTGTTTACATTAAGTAAAAATAATGGCTTATGTAAGGAAAGTCAATCTTACTGCTTCTACCATTAAAAAAAATATATAATCAGTCAGAAAACATTATCTTTGTTATCAAAAAGTAGCAACGGTACAAACCATTTTTTTAAAATATAGATTCTTAGTTCATCAATAGCATGCCCACAGCACACCGCAGTATGGCTATGGATGACAAAACATTGCGGTTTCTATTTAGAAACGTGATTGTGTTTGCTCTTTTCCAACCTTGTTTCAGGATTGTGACAAGCTAAAATACAGCCTTACATGCTTAAGAAAATTGCCATCCTTTTGCTTCTTGTAAACCAGTCTGGACAGTGATGCATTTTTGAGCCCTTTACTTGCTGATTTTTAAGCGGTGAGTGAAGAATATTTTTAACCCTGAGAAAACACGCTGTCAAATCTTTCTAATTGATTAAGGGCATCCGTCGAACAGCAAGCTTTCATCCTAAAATTAGATAAACATAGATGATGTTGGAATAATTGTTCTGGACTGATGATTCTCACAGTAAAAAGAGCATATGGAGACTTTTTTTCAGCAGATTTGGTGCAGCTGTTCCCATACCACTTCATTATTGCTTCCTGCATATAAAGTGTTTCCAGTGCTTGAATAGGAGCAGACAATACAAGGTAAGAAATACCAGCACAAGTTATTGTGCCGTAACTATCAGTTGTCTTACCTACTAATAGGAACAATATAGTTTATCATATGATATTTTGTGCTTATTTACTGGAGAATGAAATGGTGCACACCAGCAGTTGAGGAATCACTCATGCAGCTCAATGCAAAATTCAAGCCCTAGTTTGCTCTGTGTTAATCTGAATTATTTTCTTAGAACAGTACAGAAATTGAGACAAAGGTATGTGATGAAGCTGTCCATTTAATTAGGCATAAATGACAGGAAAAATTCATATCCTTTATTTTTTCATTTTATTTTTTCTACTTAAAGACTGTAAATTTAAATCTTTAGAAAAAAGCCTGTGGAAAAGGTGAGTGTTTTAGTAAAATGCAGATCATTCAGCATTAGTTTTAAATAAGCAAATCAGCATGATATCTGTCTTTATCAAATACACAGTAAAACCTAAAAAGCTACCTAAAAACCCCTCTCAGCATACCTTGTGTTCTTTCTGCCTTTACCTTCCCACACTTCCACATCCTAGGAAAGGGTGTTTTAAGAGTTCCCGGGAAATGAAAGTAGAATTAGTTCTGGTTAAAGAGCTCTGAGAAGGTTTAGCTCCCATCGAGGCTGGCATGATTACAGCCCGATCTACAGAGGCACTACAAATATTCTTTCACTGTCTTCATTTTCTCATGTTCCCATGGGGAAAGAAGGGTGGAGGGAGGACATGATGAAGGACTGGGTAAACAGGTTCTGTGAGTATGGGTAAGAGGTTGTGTGGTCTTGATGTCAAGGGGAAGGGGAGGGGGCAGGAAGAGAGAGGTTAATTAGTCTGTTTCAAGATAATCAGGTCCTGTGGTCTTGTAGAGTTTTTTAGGTAACTACTCAAGGTCTTAACTTCGGTCGAGACACAAGCAGAAGTCCCTATCTTTAACTCTTGTGTTTTCATCTAGGTAGCCTTTCTTGTATCATGTAACCTAGTAGTAGTCTCCAACAGCTTCTCTTTTAAGGTGAAGTTTTATTGCATTAATCTAATCTCAAAGGTAGAAAAATTATGATAATGTGAGCAGCAGCCTCTATATATTACAGTAAAGGCCTGCAATGATCGTAAAAAGCAAATTCAATTACTGCTATAATGTTCATAGCTGATAACACCTTGGGAAATGGGAGATCCGAAGGCTAACGACTACTGGGAAGCATACTCTTTCAAAAGTGTTGGCTATTACTTCCAGCATCTCCGTTGACCAAACCATAGGCATGTACTGTTGGATGTCGTCAGCCTGCTGTCTGTACCAGGAAGATACCACTGTGCTATACTACTCTTCTTTAGAGAAAGAAACAATTCTTCACGCGCCCATTACAGTCACTTGAAAAAAAACAAACCTGTGTGTGTGATTCAGTATTGATTTGTTCACGGTGAACAAGGTTGTAGCTACTGTGACTGTAATGCAGTAGTCAGACATGCCCAATACCAGATGAACATTTGACATTAATTTATCTTTTAAGCAGGGTGCTTAATTCAGTAACAGAATACGGTCTAGAGCTAGACTAAAAATCTCGAGAACCAATTAGATTGAAATTCTGTGCAGTGTCTGACAACAAAACCCATAGTTCTCTTGACATTAAGCCAAACCAACAGGTAACTTTTCAAACAGAAGCTATAGTAGCGTGTCATTCGAACTAATGAGCAGGTGATGTGTTCATAGTCTAAAAAGGGACATTTCTAGGTGTTCTGTGTAATCCTGGAAGAGATAATGCCTAAATTTGTCCACTGGTGATGTTAAGCGATTGATGAAGAAGTGAAAGATAAAGGTTTTAAGCACACCTTAGTCTGGAAGGATTCAGATTTGTATCCTTTATACTTACATTACATCAAGCTGTAGAACAACTGTGAAGAAGGGTGTAGTAACCCACAGTATCACTCCTGGTAGAACTAGCTATTCCTCAGGTTGGAATAAAGGAGGCAGAAGAAGAGAGAGCTTTGTGATTCACCCACTTATGCAAGAGTAGGAATTGCTGCATTCTCACTGTTCCTGTGGTTGTGTATTAATTATGCAGTCATTAAGCTGGGAAGAAAAGACAATGCTAGGTAAAATAAAAGAAGTATTTTTCCACAGTTGACCTCAATCTTGTACCTGGCAGTTTTCTTGGTATTATCTCATATACCTTATGTAGTGTTATAGGATACTGTTACATAGATCGGATGGAGAGGCCTAAATTCTGCTTCCTATAACATTAAGCATTTTGAGTAACTCTGAGTAGTTAGGGAAGGCATGGGTATCTCTGTATTGGGCTTCACCTTACCTACCTACCAAACAGTCATGGTTATGAATGGAAAAGATGTAAATCAGTATATATTAGATTACATCAGCTTTCCAGATTACCACAGAATGATTGCCTAGTAGATTGTACTTTTAAGTAGATTATTACCATCGGTATGCAATGGCTGTACCTGCAGTTTCTTTGAGTACTATGTAGGCTTTTCTCCAGAAAAGATAGCATTCTAGCAACAAGAAGAGGTGTGTCTGTCTAGAAAGGGTGGTAGTTCTGCTGTGCTCTTGAGAAATCTCTGCGTTGAAAACAAAGTTTAGATTGGCTACATTTCACATTCTTCAGTCGGAGATGAAAATGAAATCTCATGTAGGCCAGTTTTATTACAATGTTGCTGAGAAAGGCAAAAAACAGAAGGAGGGAAAGAAAAGCAATCTGACAAGGCATAGAAAAGAAAAAGATACCAGCAGTTACAGTGAGAAAACTAAATTGAAGTACTGCACTGTAAACATAAAATTTACCCACTTTATCATCTCTTTCATAACAGCACTTAAATTTTAAAAGCTGGGGGGGGGGGGGAACTATTTACAGAACATATTTGAATCCTGTATTTTGAAGGTGTGTTTTACCTCTAAGCTCATAAACATTCCTACATCTTATAATTTATGGACACTTGCATTTTACTGTTGGATTATGAGTAATCGATGCTTTGCCTAGGTCAATAAAAGAAGCAAAGTAATCTCTTGAAATACACCATGGACATTTCCAGTGGTTCTAATTCCATGCACAGTCCTATAACTTCAGTTAGTATGCTAGATATTACTCTTTCCATCTCAGCAGTCACAAAATTACTACCTTAGCTATATAGCTGTGCTCACATAATGGGGAATTTCAGATGGCTTCTGGCCTGTCATTTTTGGAAGCAAAATATGAGCCAATCTGTGCCAGGCATTGCAAAGTGGGAGTAGGGGTGAGTGTGTATTACTCTAAATGCTGCCTAAATCTGTGGAAACACTGAATTGACCACTGCTAAATATGATATCTGTTATTGGGAGTCCAGCTAATGCCCATTCAAGTTAAAAGACTTAAATATTATCACTATTATTATTTGGAAATAAGGAATATTGAGAGATCTTGGCCATTACTTCAGACATACTTGTTTTTTTACCTTCTGTCTGTTTTGAACTAGATGCCTAAATTTAAAATTATTCAGGATAACATTCTGCATTGTAATTGATGCAGTCATCTCACCTACATTAGTGCCTTCAGCAACTTTTTAAAATTTGATATGTTTAACTAAAAATATAATGTTGAAAGACATACTTCTACCTAAGATATATAATCAGAAGTATTTTTACTTGTAACCATGGTGAGAAATGTTTTCACTTTTACTACAGTATTAAAAAAAAATAAAAAGTTCATATCAGGGAAATTTGCAGGTTTATTTTGGCAACCACAGTGGCAAAGAGTTGACATATAAAGAAACAGCTAAGTTCTGTTCCTCAGGTGCACCCTCTTTTGCTAAAATACCATGGGATATTGGTTACTGTGAAATACAAGTATTTTCAGTTTTAACTTTGTAAATAGATTTAAAAAAAATTCTTCTCAATTACCACTAAAACCAAATAGAACTTATAAGGCAATTCAAGTATTAAATCAACTTTTCCTTTTTAACATATATGAATGTATATGTATATTGACTTACACTGTGGGATTTCTAGTGATATGTTCCACATGCTTCTTAATATTCAGTACTCAAAGAGCAGCAGTTCTTACACAAGGAGCTTATATTTAACTGGACAGAAAACATCTAGACAAATTTTAAGAAAACTTCAGCATTTTCTTAAACTTTGCAGTAATGAGCAAGAAATATTTGTATTGGTGGGCCTTCTAAGAAAGTGAAATCAAGTACTCAGTCTGAAAAGTCCAGAATCTTATTTTTTACTAGAAGTCTTTTTTTTTTCCCCTGCTCTAAATACTTTCTGTTTTCCAATACATTATTAAACATAAACCCTTTTTTAATGTATTTAAGGATAAAGAGAAGTATCTGAAGCTACAAAGCTGTGAGAAAGGAGAAGAGACTAAGCAATGTGAATGCTTATAGCTTCTGGAGATTGAGACAGAGTTGCTCAATAGTGTTCATCCAAAGCAAAGGACAGAGCAGTGCTACAGTGGTTGTTGTTTACCCACAAAAGAGCATTGTGTTTCCATGCTGTAGTATGCTCAGAAGCTTGTTTTCTTTATCTGTCTGTTGCTATTTGTGCCTTCTTTCTAAAAGGAAGCAGCAGTGTTCAATTCCTTGATGTTTTTTTATGGTACTTTTTCACTTTAGGAAGCCTAAACTTTGTTTTGATTGTGGATTACTTAATGTCTCCCATTTTTTTCCTCCTACCCACAGTCTTTCTGTTGAGTGTGGGAGACTTTTCCTGGAATATAGTAGCCACACATATTTGAGTTATGATATGCCCCAGAACCTACTTCACAGTTTTCTACTCATCAGAAGCTATGAAACACTTTGTAGTCAAGTACTTCAAGTTGCTTGAATGAAAGGCAAGAGTGCAGAGACTTAGTGCTTAAGCACTGGGATAAATTCAGAATTTCCTTGTGGAAACAGGAAGCATCCCAAATCTCATGCCATCTTTGTTAGAGTTTGTAGGCTGGTGCATCTTAAGTCCCTATTTGTCACCAGAGTTCAAAGCACAAGTCATAACGATCAGTAAAACACAACTCCTGGGCTCAAAGCCAAAAGGTAAATGTTTCTGGGTTGTTTGCTTATCTAGGAGATGTGACTCATTTTTCGCTACAGTCATTTATACAAGATCATATAATTTTATATAGCTGATACTGGATCTGATTATTATTTTAAATGAGTTCATTGCTTGATCAGAGTAAGTCATTGTTACAAGTTTATAAGCACAATAAAGGATAAGATTCACTTGCCTTATGGTACTCCACTTGAATCTCCAGAAGGTCACTTCAATATCATAGTTTGCAGATGTTTCTTACACCCTTTGAATGTCTGGAGTGGCCACTGCAAACTATTGAGCCATCAGCTGCATGTAGAATCGTTTTCTATTAACCACTTTTGCTTTTGGAATAGTCTGAGCAGCAGCTTGGGTTCAGGATTTTGACAAGAACTAAATTACTTGTTGAAGGTAATGCAGTCATTCCCAAGCTTTTGGCTTGGTGTGTTAATATTTTACATTCACCAAGTCATTGTGTTGGCCAGACCGCAGAGCGGGCAGGCAAGGGAATAAGCTGAAAAGTTCACTATGGTGTAGAGGCAAAATACATGCAAAAATCATTGCAGCTAAATTTGAAGTGTCTGGAAATTATGCTTTACACTACTGGCTGTCTCTCAGATTCTCACAATTTTTGTTATTATTCTTAGTTTGAAAGGTTTTGTGTTTGGTCTCAGTTGTGACTGAAATACAGGGAAGAGAAACAATGCATTTCCTGTAGATTCAAATGACTTCTCTACAGATCCAGTTCACACGAGTCCACATATTCCTGTTCATGTAGAACATGAGAAGTTTCCATGTATGTATTATAGCTTTTCTAATAACTTGTAGAAGTTTTTAAGGATGCTTCTCTAATAGGCAGCTTTATATTGTGGAAGTTGTTGTATAATTCTTAAATGAAAGTGACTACTGCAATGTTAATGTTATCTTTTAGGGTATTGTATTTGTTTAAAAATATGTATATGAAAGTTTTCTTCACCTTTTAGGTATTTACATAACTTGTCAAATTGTTAAAGATAAGTTACTACACTTACGTCGATTAAAGGTTTTTGTTTGGACAGAACAGGTATGAAATTGTCTCTGGTTTTAGCACACACACCCCCTACACACCCTAAATCCTGATGTGACTAAAGAACTGTTACCCTGTCAGCAGAACAGAGAAATGGAAAAATCAGTTTCCCAGAGAGTATACTATCCAATAATACACTATCCAATTTGCATAACAGTACTGTTTGGATATGTATTAACAACTGAATATTTAGTCTGGTCTGACAGTAAGCTCAAAAAAAATAGGCTGTGGCGGGAACTATACAGAAAACACTACTTGAGGCAAGGCAGTATCTTTTTACTGTGATTTTTTTGTTGTAATGTTTTGATAAAAGAAAGTCACAGGAAAACAGTTGTTAAGTCATTGCACAACCTTCCTTCTTCCCACCCTAGAAAGGTCTGTACAGTCCCTGTTACTTGGGAAGCCAGCAAAACATTTCTCTGTTAGAGGTGGAGGAGAGGCACTGCTTGACTTAAAGCATTTCCCTGTCTCAAGAATGTTGCTCCTTGCTTTTGAGGAGTCATGACATGGCCAATTAGATGGCCAATTTTCATGCCAGAGGGTGGTCTTTGCCTTAGCAGGTCAATTAAAATATACATCCCTTCGTTGGTTTTCCTTCCAGGTAGTCTATTTATAGCTATCCATCCAATTTTCATTACTAGAGGCGTAATTGATCTTTTGTCCCATTGTGAAGTTTGTATGCAACTGTCTTACAGGTTAGTAGAAAAAGTAATTATCCCTCTGGCTACAGATATATCTTGGTACTTAGAAGTTTGTCAGTGTAGGTGGTGTCCTTTGTGTTAGAGTGACACTGGGTGATTAGTGGGAGAGTCAGAGCAGCTTGCATGCTCATGCTTGTACCTGCTGTTACATTGATGTAGTCACTATCAGGGTTTTGAGGAGGTCTGGTAACAAAAACCAAAAACCCACTTCCGCTGAATTCATTTAAGGAGGAGATTGAAATAGAGATTAATTTGAAAATAATATACTTGGACTTTTCTGTTATCACAAGTACATAATAGAAGATTAGCAATGTAGTAAGATAAGTGAATATTATGTGACTAAAATGACCAATTTGCATGTACTATTTATATAATTTTGCTGTAATTAATCTGATTGCTTGGATTTTGATGAATTCAGTGAGTTACATGTATTTCACTCTAACTTTGTTTTTATGAAAACCAAAAAGTTGCTCTTTTGTCTGCTTATGATCCAGAGTTTTGTTATTTGTGAAATCAGTACTTGTGTCTGATTACAGACTTTAGTGGCCTTTATGTCCTTTTGGCATAAAAAGAACACCTAAACACAGTAGTTGTAGATCAGGAGTCATTGTATGTAGGTAGTGTGATGTAATCCTTCAAAGTTAATTTGATCTCAGATCATAAAATAAAAGATAAGTATTTATTGAGTGTATTACACATTCCCTCATTTTTAAAGAAATTAAATAAAATTGCAGAATCCTAAACGATTCTGTGACTGTTCAATTGTGCAAATTCATTAAATCCTAAATTTTGCTGGTGTTCTGGGTTTTTTATCTGTAATTTTTGACAGCGTTGTTTGTTAAAAGTGGAGGTTTACATGTAAATATATACAACACTTTGTCCAAATTGTATGGGTTTGTATCTGTACAGTAGATAATATGCTTTAACCTACATTGTGATCTCATTATCTCTCATTAATTGTCAAACTACCTAAAATTGCTTTCCGTATAACTCAGTTGTCCTTTTATGTAAATGTTTTAAGTCTGGATGTGAGTGTATGGGTGACAAACCGGTAGAAAAATTTCTCCAGCTTCCCAAACATGAAGTATTTTTCTTCTCCTCTCGAAAAATTACATGATAGAACGAGAAACTAGGAAGAAAGCACGCACATCCTTTGCAAAGCCAGTCTGTTGGGTCATGCGCAGAGTACAGCCAAGCACTGAGACTGAGATTGTATTGACAAGAACAAGATGAATGGCCCCCTGGAGACTATGGGGTTTGTATGCTCGTTTCCACCACCTTTTCATCCTTTTGTACCCCCTTTCAGTTCATATGCAGATTAACTCAAACCAAGTCCACACTAAATACTCTTTTTCACTTTAGTTTTGGAAGGTAGGTGGAGGATCTAAATATTTATGAGGCTTTTTTCCTCTGGTTTATGATGCACTCTTGTTGAACGTTGAGGAATTACGTTAATGAATGCATGCCTGCACACACAGACACAGAAACCAGGCAAAAGGAAAAAAAAAACACACAAAGCGTTGTCAGCTCTAATGTCGGTGCTTACTAAAACAGTTCCCATAAAAAAAAAAAAAAAAAAAAAAGGGATTTAAAATCCATTGCCAGGAGAAAAATAAATTGTATGACTGAGCACAAAAGAAAGAACAAAGTTTCATCTTTGCTTTCCTCAGCTGTAAATGAAACTCCTTCTGAATAAATTTGAAATAAAACATGTTAATTGAAAAATGAAAGCTTGTCTAAAAAGTCTTAACTGGATTTGTGTTTTCAGTAATGAAGAAAAGGCAAAGCTTTGGTCCTGTACAGTGTCCCTTTAACATCGGTAGTAATAAACATGGTAGTATTTTCTGGTATGATAAAAGGTACAGTTAAGTATGCTTTAATGAGACAAGTCAGATAATTCAGTGACACTGTTTTTGCCATGATTTTGCCAACTTCAGTACATTTATTCAGGAGAGCTAGTTTTTGTGAGACTAAAGGTTTTTCTGGAAACTAAGCTGCCTTTTTTTCAAAATTAAATAGAACATACTGAGATTATAGCTGGATATACTAGAATTTTTTTTTCAAAATGGTTAGTTCAAAACTTAAGGAATATACCTTTTTTACATGGAAGACTATGTGGCATTAAAATCCTAGTACTGAAATATGGGCACTTCAATTCTTTTAATACTACATTGTCAAGAAGAGTCAACTCTTCAACCTTTAATCATTTCTGCCTTCCTTCTACCCCTTTTTATTCTCCAAAACACACATAGCAATGCCAGACAGGGCTGCAGCTCACACAAGTGGGACAGCAAATTCTTTCATATTCAGGAACCAGAACATGAGATTTTAAAATGTGCTTTTGTGCTATAATTTAAAACCTGCTGAAGCAATTGCATAAAATTAGCTCTTCAAGTGCAATGGTATTTAACTGTCTAGACTCAGTTTTTTTCATATTTATAATATGCCTATCTGAAGTTACTAAAACCTTGTCCTATTATGTTCATCTTTTTATTGTACTTTGTTTTCAAGGTATTCAGTTTCATATGTAATTAAATCCAGTAATATTTCATTTTTTCTAAAGTTAATGTTTACGATCTTAAAATTCTGATTTTGCTATTTTCAGTGACTGTGATATTCAAGGGTTAAGGGAAACAATTTTGTTTAGCAGATCCCAAAACAGTAAAGAGGTATACAACCTAATAATAAATTAGTATTTAACAACTGAAATTGCATCACTTTTGTTTAATCTTTCATCCTTTAGCCTAAATCTTCTCCCTCTTGCCTATTTTTTTTCCCTACATAGCCAGTTGTGACCACAGCTACAGTATTAGATATTGCTGAAGTACTTAAGCTCCATGAAAAACAAAAAAATCTGTCTCTTAACTGGAGAGATTTCAAGCTTACCTGGACTTGTCCATCCTGGGCAAATTGAAGCACTTATGTGGTATCTTAGTGAAACAGATTTGCACATCTGTACAGCGAAATTCCTCGTTTTTAATGTGGGTGGATTTGCAGGTAGTGAATGCAGGACTTCCTTATATATATGTACAGTACACAGTGGATTAATAGGGAAATGAAGAACATGCATCAAGGTAATAAATGTTGGAAGAGAAAGCATCAGGGAGATGTGATACTTGAATACACTTTGAAGAAGGAAGATGCAGGGGTAGAGGCAGGCATAGGACAACTTTTATGTGGAGGACAGTAAGGAAAAAACAAAGTTGAGAGACTCCTTGGCCTGAGTAGAGGGCTTTGGGGCTCCCTTTTAAGCTATTAACACTCCCAAATGGAGGAAAAAAATAGCACACCAGCCAAAGTCATTCAAAGTAGTTTTTTAGGGGGATAAGAAATGTGGATGAACTATAGGCCTAAATCAGGGAACAGGCATGTCAGAGTCCTGTAAAAGGCTTTTTTTTCTAATATCAAATAAGTACAGCCCCCACCCCCCAAAAATTATTATTACCATCATAATGGTGAATAAATAAATTCAAAATCCCCAAAGCCAAAGTGGTTATAGCCCTCAGAAGTGCCATAATAATGATAAGGAAAGCAATTATCTGTACTTTTCCTAAAAGGAAATGGCACAGGAAAATACAAGAATGTACAAAGATGAGCCCAAGGTCATCTTGACAGGCATGTGCCTGTCATCTGCATGTAAGTCCATCTGCATTTAGTTAAGGACAAGCCTGCTTCTCCAGGCTCAGAGGTTCATGTGGATAGAGACCCACATGTGGAGCCAGAAAGTCTTGCTTCCAGAAGTTGAAAATGCACAAATAAAACTAATGCTTTCAGTGGATTCTTAAAGGCAAGACCATGAGCCTACCTACTGATCTGCCTTATGAAGTTTTGCTTCAAAAAACAGCTAAGGATACAAACACAATCTTCACTCTCCTGATCAGAGAATCCCACAATGGATTCAGACTTTAGATCCCTGGGCAAAATCCTAATTCCTGTTGAAAAAAAAAAAAAAAAAAAAAAAAAAAAAAAAAAAAAAAAAAAAAAAAAAAAAAAGAAAAAAGAAAATGTCATGGAATTGATTGTAAGGATCCAGGTCACTGTGCTGCCAGGATTACCAGACAGGTTGAGATTTTCAGCAATAGGAATTCCCCTTTAGTTAGTTGTACTCACTTTACATTTTTACTGTTTTTCCATTGAATTTGCTCAAATACAAAAACCACAAGATATATTAAAAAAAAAAAAAAACAAAACCAAAAAAAAACCAAACACAAACATCAAACCCACAGATCACTAGAAATTGCAGGTAAGTTCTCTCAACACTTAATTTCTGTGGTGAACACTAAAAATAAGCGGTCTTCCTTTTTTCTAAGGGTGGTTCTGAAGTGTTGTCACATTATATGTGAAGGCAGTGGGGTGCAACCATGTGTTTTCAAGAAAGTACTTTCATGAGTCCACCTTATCTTGAGGCTGATATCTTTCCAAGTGGCATCCTGCATAAATTTGCCTTTTTTTTCCTTCCCAAAAAGAAATTTCCTACAGATGAATCACAGCATTCTAAATGGAATCTGCCACCTGCCTAAGCTATGAGAAGTCTAGCTGTTTCCATACTAGTGTAACAGTCATCTCACAGATGGGAGGTGTATCTCCACGGATGGCACTGAACTCTGAAGAGCTTAGTTTTTTGGGGGGATTCTGATGCATGTGCTTACAGTATTTGTCTTTTGGTGCCTGAACAGCTGATTTAGGTGTAATACTTGAAAATTCTCTGTCTCCTTTACTCAGAGATGCCTCAATTTCTGCCGATAGATAGAACTAGAGCTCTTAGCAGACAGAAAGGTACAAGGGGTTGAAGCTACAATTACCAAAATGAGATCTCCTAAGACAAATTTCTCAAAAGACGTTGCCCTCTAACATTAGGGGAAAAAAAAAAATGCAGTTTTGTTCATTATCTCTGAAAATATTAACAGAGCAGGCCTACAAATTTTTTCAAGTTGTTATGGGTGATGCTAGCTTTTTTCTTCTCATACAGAAGGAATGTTCAAACTCCTAGTTCAGATTCATAAGCATAGTTCTATTAAGACTCCTCTGCCAGTTTAGTGTCCAGGAATATCCTTCAGATGCCTAACCTTCATTAATTAATTGATGAAGGAACCTGAGCCCACCTCTAGACACAAAGATTTATTACCTTGGGTAGAGAACTTCTTCAAGTGTCATAACAGAAAGGCTGTAAGATGCTGGTAGAGTAAAACAGAACACCATTCCTCCCTCTGACAAATCAACTCCATATTTCTTCACAAATCATCAAGAGGTCAGCTGTTCTTCAGGCAAACGGCTTCCAATAGCAATAGTGCTGGCCTAGGAAGAAGGAAGGTGGATTTCAGGGAGTTTTACTCTCCAAGAACAGTATTTTCTTTACCCTACTTTCTCTGATTTGAATTTTCTCCATGTAAAGGGGGAAGGGCAGAAGAATAGGCTTCTCTTTAATATCTGTTTTCTTACCTGTTGCTTTTGCCAGCAGAATCTGCACAGTTTATAGATACAGAGTGATTATTTGAAAGATAAAAGAAGATACAAGCAAAACTTGCACACCTATTTGAAGGAGAACACAGAGTAAACTAATACGGAACCTGTACAGTTATTCCAAGAATAAATATTCCCTGTTTCCGAACATAATAATTTGTCTCTATTCCATTTCTTGACGTTTTTTTAAGCAATAATGTTGCTAATTTGATTTTCAAGGGTTTTCTTTATAGAAAGTCTGAGAATTTTGGTTTTAAGAACTGTTGGATATCAGGAATTAAATCAATGGAGGAAGCTTACAGAAACCTCAAGAATCATTTCTTCCTAAAGATCACCTAGTGTTCCTAAACTGTGTGGACGGAATTTGTTCCTGTAAGTGTAACGCATAATGCCACCAAATATCAATGCTCATAAGTTGAGTATTAATTACTTAAAATTTGGGAGCACTCTAAAAGTTTATTACTGAATCAATTATCTTTTGCTTTTTTCATTTGTCAAAAAGAAATCATCAAAGCTGGAAACTGATCAATTAACATTTTGTGATATTTGTCTGAGGAAGGTAAAAGGATTTGTTTTGTTCTTTAAACAGTTTACTAGAGTGATTTTTAAGAATAATGTCATCTAAATAAGGGCAGTGATCTAGAAAGGCACTGAAATGAGATGAAAACTGAATTTAATGTCAACTTTTGATACAGGTTTTTGTCTGCATCTCCTCTAAAAAGTTAAACAAACAGAACCAGGACTGAGCTGCAACTCTAACACTGATCCCCCTGGGCTGGCCACGTTCATACTGTTAAGGTTTTATCAGGTTACAGCATGGTAACCTGTCAAAGAGTGCCCACAAGTCTTTGGGAATGTTGGCCTTGGGGGAAAACTATCCTAGGGCTCCTCTGACACCCGAGCAGCACTGACACTGGGACATGTTCCCTTGCACTGCTGAATTTCTCAGTGCACGTATAATCCCCTTGAGTTTGATCAGAGCATGGGACTGTTCTATCATTAAATGCCCTATTAGTAGAGAATAACTATTTTTCCTTTCTTCCTCTTCTTCTCTGCAACATCTCTTGGGATTATGGTATCACTGGTAAAAATAATCCATCTCTGTTATGGGTAAAACATCTGTTACAGTCAGATCATAGCTTTAATTTGAAGTTATTACATACTGCATTAATTAGAGTAGCAACAAAAAGAATTCCAAAGTTTAGAGAAGTCTGATAAAAGGAAGTCTTCAGTTCCCCCCACAAATATATATATATATTTCTGTAAGTGTGAATCTGTAAATATACTAATATACTGTAGATATACAGATATATAAAGTTTTTTAAGTACACTGTGAAAGAGTTCTTCACTTCTGCCAGCAGAATTAAGATAACAATCTAATACACAGCTATTTGAAAGAAATGTTCTAGCTGCTTAAATAAGCTTATTCTTGCATTATGAATGACTCCTCCAAAAACCTGGACACATTTCCACATAGGCATATATGATGTTTCACTCAAAACTGACACTGTTTCACAAAGAAAACAAGGGTAGTTAGTCTTTTCGTGATAATCTTTTATATTATCTTTTAAGATCAGGTTACATACCATATAATATAAATTATAGGACCAAACTACTTATGAAAGATGAAGTTGCTGCTGAAATGAGGGACAGCACAAGTAAAATAGAACCCAAGCATGGGACAGGTGTTTTAATGCCTCCATACTTGAGAGTGAATTTCCTTCTAACACTGGTAGCATGGAACAACTGTAGTAAAGAAAACATGGAACAACTGTAGTAAAGAAAACACCAAAGGATAACAGTAATTGCACAAAGAGGGACCTCGCACAACAATACAAAACAAAGAAAACTAACCTAGTAAATTGGAAACTTTAAACCAGGAATTCAGAAACTTCTAAATATTTCTTCTGCTAGTAATCATAGTTCCAAATTAAACTGGGTTAAACAGCCATGAAATAAGCAAAGTAGCTGTCTAATCGTACTTTGAAATGGCAATCTACAAATACTCCAGACTTCTAGATTTACTAGCTCCATCAAAAATGCATTTAGTACTAGCTGCCAATATTTCTAGGGACAAATGTATTAAATAAATACTACAGTGTGTGGCAGAATTTCCTCAAGGGGTGGTAAATGATGTGACTTCGCAAACTGATACAGTACCTCCTCCCTTGGTCCAGGGAAAGGAGCAAAAAAAAAAAGTGAGTGAGCCAAACACTTATTACAGCCCTTCAGACCTGATTAAAGTAAAATTCCAGGAAACATTTAATATCAAATATGCACAGCAACACAACCTTAATTAGACACACACATCTCTGAAGATATCAATAAATCTTTCCTTTTTGATAAGTCTGATTTAGTGTACCGAAATACAGGAATGTTTCTGAAACGTCATTCAAGGAAGCATGAGAAATAAACAAGCTCAAACATTTAAAACAACACCAATTAGCAGACCATTCTTTTTTAAAAAAAATCTGAAATGCAATTTTATTAAGCTTCAGTCAAACACAATAAAGACTTTGTTTTGAGAAGAATTGCATTTGAGACTTGAGAAACAGTTTCTGAGTTGGTATCTTCATTCACAGAAGGCTACATAAGCAACAAAATGTATTAGATGCTTTAGGTTTTAGCAGTGAATCAGAAAATAAATTTAAGGACAGACATCCCCATCTGAATTGGGTTTTTGTCTGTTTGTTCTTACCTTTGCATGAAACAGAAACTGAGAGGTCAGAAATGGTATCTTGTCTTGTGCAGCTATCTGGTAACAGCACCGTGTTCGGCTTAACCATGCATGTTCTTAGCAATTTCAAGCAAAGTCTTCTGTGTCCATTCATTTTCACTCCCTTTTGGCCATTTACACCACGGAAAAGCTTTTACAATTTGCTTAAAATTACCAAGAAAAAAGCTCCAATATCTCTTCTTGTAAAGGTTTCTGTTCCAATTCAGACATGGAGTGTTTGATTTATGTTGAATAGTGGCTTGCTGGTTGTATTTCAGAGGTGACAAGAGAAGAAAAAACTGTCACAAAGAATGACCTGGAGGAAGAAGTGAGATAACAATGTGTCTCCAGGCACAGGAGAGGGCTGGGGAGAAGGTTTGTGTCTCGAGCTGGTAACAGGTTTGGAATAAAGTTGTGACCTGATCCTTAAATCTCACATCATGCCATGACTGTTCTGTGAAGAAGCCCAGATCACCTGCAGAACAAGGTGATCTCTTTATTCTAGAATTATTTTCTTCCCAGCAAGGAAGAGCAGAATGAGCATTCTACACGAGTGCAACCTGTGAGAACACTCACCTGCATCTGTACTGATATAACTTGATTTTCTCACAATGGTTACCTGAGTATTGGTGGGCACAGTTTTTCCTGTGTGAAAGTGAATGGCCTCAGTTATTCTGGGATGCGAAGCAAACAATTACTTCTGTTCAGGTTCTTGTAATTCAGAGTAAGAATATGTGAGCATAAATTCAGCAGTGGATTTATACTGCAGTCAGTTCATGAAACCAGGTAACACTGCTTTTTAAACTAGAGAGAAGATTCAAGCCCACCTGATATTGATGGTGGGCTTAACTTGATTCAGTGATGCCATCATTTCATCCCTAATTTTCTACAACAATGATTAAAATTACAACATACCTTCAAAAGAGGCTTTTCTCAAAAAAAAAAAAAAGTATTTTTAATTTCGTAAGATTGTATTCGGGAGGTTTTTTAATTGTGTCTCATAAACAGTATCTGATATGTACAATAAAAATGGCAAATATTTCTTCGGCATTATTTTTTTTTTTATATTAGATATTTAAACAGATATTTAGAAGATCCCAGAATAAGCAGCAGTAGAACTTTAAACATGAGAAAACTTCACAATATCATTAACTGCAAATAAACTATCTTAAATTCAGCATTTTATATTTCTTCATGACATGACAACCTTAAGAGACATAAAATCAAAAGCACAAGACACTTTTTAAAAAGTTAAAAACCATGCAGATATTAACCGTGACATTCAAATGTATTACCAAAGAAGATAACTGATTTTTTTTTTTATATCACTATATTACTAATTATACCACATCAAAGGAAAACCTGTGTTTCAGCAGTGGTTTTACTGCATTAAAATCAGTGCCCACCCAGGCTGTCACACTATACTCAGTGAAAGGAGGTGGATACTGCATGATGTCCTCTTTGGTAATCCCTTTTAAATAATTTGCATGTGGTGCTGGACTATGTGCGTATTTCCCTTCTGTCCACTGGAATGCTGAAGTGGCCCATGCATTATGAGGCCTTTGATGAAGGGGGGCAGGGAAAGAAAAAGGCTCTAACTCAAGTACTTCTCACCCCTGGTCTCTAGCCTTCATAAATCTTGGGGGGAAGGCACTGTTGATGGAAACCTTGTATTTTCAAAAGTAAATTAAAAAAGGAGCATGCAGAGAAGACATTCCCAAGGGTAAGAACATTCAGAGATTTCTTCTATGTCCCCCCCTTGCCACTACCCCAACATGGTTAGGTCTTCCAGAACTTAAAAAGCATTGAGATGACTTTACCCCTTCTCACAGAAAGCCTCAGTCTCAGCAGATGGGAAGTAGGCCTTTTTTTATTCACTGCCAGAAAAACCCAAGTATTCATTGGAATCTGTGATGCACTTAAGGAAAAGAACAGTGAACGGCAAATAGCAAGAAATAAGCAAACTACTGCTGTGGGTGCCAGGTGACCTGCAGAAGAAAACCTTCTCTGAGGCAAGAAGGCAAATGTTCAGCAGTGCCTATAGGGGTCAGGAGCTA